CCTAGGCAATAAAATTAAAAGAAAAAAAAAACAAACCATAAATGGGCAGCCTGCTTTAATTGGAATGTAATTGGTAATTACAATCATAAGAGCTCTAAAAATACAGGACAGTTAAAAGGAGATATTAAGAATAAAAATTTAATTAAAAAATTTTTTTTGAGGGGGCTGGAGAGTTGGCTCAGTGGTTAAGAGCACTGGCTGCTCTTGCAGAGGTCTTGAGTTCAATTCCTAGCACCCACATGGTGGATACCAACTGTAACTCCAGTTCCAGGGAAATCTGATGTCTTCTTCTGACCTCCGCGGGCATTGCACAACATGGGTGCACTCACATACATGCAGGCAATATACTCATGTACATAAAATAAAAATAATAAAATATTAAACATTTTTTAAGAGGTTATATAAGAACCAAAGCTAAATCCTGAGACTAGGTCTCCAGTCCTCATCTCGTTCTCTGACTTTGCCCTTTATTCTTTATCTCCAAACGGAACCAAGTTCTATATGCAAATAGATTATGGCCTACTTTAAGATAAAAACTACAAAAACAAACAAACAAACAAAAAAAGCAAGCAAGCAAGAAAGCAAGCAAGCAAAAAGAAAAGGAGGCTGTATTGGGAATTTCCATTTGTGAAGACCACTTTCCTTTGGGGAGCTAGACTCATGCTTGGATATAACTCACATTCTTTTCTCTCTGAGCAGCTTTTTCTTTTCCTCCTTATGCTTAAGCCTACATTAAAATGTCTTTATTGTACTCGCTAGTCCTAAGATCCCTTTCAGGAATTGAAGTCATGTATCCTGGTTTGGCTTGAGTGGAGGGTCCTAAAACTCAGGGCCCAAGGATAACCATGGGAAGCTGTCTCTGTCACTGCCAACATTTCTGGGTGTTCCTGCTGAAATTCAACTTGAAGCACTGCTGGTGGGTTTTCCTGTCTATGGCTTGGCTGATCTACCCTGCTAAGCTCGGCTTGCATGTTACTTCAGGTTCCTTTGTTTCTGTTTTTCTGGCCAGAAACCCACTTAAAAATCCCTTAGACTCATCCATACTCTGTTTCTGGGTCAGATGGAACAGTGCATGGTTTTTGCCGGGTACATTATACCAGCTGATCCCCAGTTGGCCTAAGCCAATCTCTTGCCTCCAAGAGAGCAGCCAGAGACAAAATGAGATAACTACTTCCCCAGAGCAGGACATTCTGCATCCAAAGCAGCACATTAGGGATAACTGTTTTTATGTGTTATTTATTCTTAACTTGAAGTCTTAAAAGTGTTTCTTTGCTGTCCTACCTGTCTCCTCTGCTTTATGAATTAGACAAGGGAAATTCTGTTGTCTTCCTTCGCCTGTGAGAAAAACATTTTCATCAGTAACGGCATCTCCTCCTCAGCAATTTAGTTCTTAAAGAGAGAGAGAGAAAAAAATATTGTTTTAAGTCTACATGACCAACTTCACCTTCTGATTTTTTATTTTATTTAAAAAATATTTTAATTATTATTTTTATTTATGTGTATGAGTATATTGCCTGCATGTGTGTAAGAGCACCTGTGTCATGCAATGCATGCAGAGGTCAGAAGAGGGCATGGATCCCCTGCAACTGGAGTTATGGATGGCTGCTAGCTACCATATGGGTGCTGGGAACCGAACCTGGATCCTCTGCAAGAGCAGCCAGTGCTCTTAACTGTTGAGCCATCTCTCTCTAACTCCATCCTTTTGATCTTTTTTTAAAAATCTTTTTGAGACAGGGTCTCCCTGTAGCCCCAGCTGGCCTGGCACTAGCTATGTAGACCAGGCTGGCCTCAATCTTGCAGAGATTCTCCTGCCTCTGCCTCCCGAGTGCCTTTTGATCTTTTATGCCACAAAACCTTTCTCATATCTTAAAGACCTAGTGATACAAACTTTCTACCTTCCATAACCCACCTTGATTTCATGTAATTGTATCATGTATGTCTATGATAATTGTTTTCATGTGTTGTTTGTGTCAAAACCATTGTTTAAAATATTTTACTTATTATTTTTATTTTATGTGTATGAGTGTATTGCCTGCATGTGTGTGAGTGCACCCGTGTCATGCAATGCTGCTGAGGTCAGAAGAGGGCTTCACATTCCCCCGGAACTGGAGTTAAGGATGGTTCAAAGCTGCCATGCATGTGCTGGGAATCGAACCTGGGTCCTCTGCAAGAGCAGTCAGTGCTGTTAACTGCTGAGCCATCTCTCTAGCCCTACAAAACAATTTTTAAATAAATTATGGCCATTTCAGCTTTATTCTC